CCCCCATTCCACCCCCATCCCTCCCTTCTATTGTGGACACACACCACCACTCCGTACTTTCTGCAGAAATTTTGCCCTACGGTGGGTGGCATGACATTTACAATATCAAGCCATGTGCGGCCCGACACTGATAAGAAACACGGTAAAAGGCGCAACGCCAGTGGTTAAGAAGATCGCAAAAAGAGGCAGTGCGCCCCTCTTGCGTACAACCCTTTCCTGGCAGTAACGCAACATGGCACGGTACCTATAGCAGTCTAGAATCCTACATAGTGCATGCATCTTTAACGCCAGCTACAGCCCAAGATTTAAGTCGAGTTTCGCAAGCCAATGCCTGAAAGTGGAGAGAGACGCATCCATTCTAATCTCCTCCGGCAGGACCATTGGCTTCCGACCGCAACTCCACCACGGCTATCCTGGACAGTCAAGTTAGCCCACGCTACCGGGCGATACCACCAATGAGATATACAAACTCTTTCGGTCATCTAGGACAAGGGTGGGTGGGAGAGATATGAAACCCTTGATATGGATATCGCAATCGCGTAATAAACCATGCAGAGGGAACTGCCAAATCAAAGGGCCCCATATTGGATCCGAATCTTAGCGTTACATTCATTAACTTGACGTGGACGCGAGACACGCAAAGCAACGACGCTTCAGAGCTCTTTGCGGGAACCATCCTACTTGTAGAAGGTGCTCTGCAGCGCTGCTCTCTGCAGAAAACAAGGCCCCTGCCCATGACTGATTTTACTCCCTGTTCGGTGTAGCTACCGCTGACGATGATCTACGAAGCTTTGTCGTCCTCAGACCTGAAGAGCGCAAAACTGATGTACGTACCCCATGCGGAGTGCTGCGGTGCATAGCATCAACTGCAGAACACGCATGGCTCTCGGACATAGCCGTCGGCGAGCCGACGATAATAGCCACATGTAGTAGGAGTAAGGATGCACCGACCGGGGTTGTTAACGAGATTTTGCTGGCTGACACGAGAATTTCCAAGCGAGCTGGATGATTCCATGTGAAACCGCGTCTATAGGGCTTCTAGAATTAGCAATACTAGCAGCAATAAGATCTCCATTGGTACCTGACCTTAAGTTCTCAGTGACCCTTCACACTAAGATTACTTTGTTCCTAAGCCACCCGCTTATCCTTCGGGACACACACCGCCGTCGGGTACTTCCGGGGGGACACTCAACATGTGATCGGAGAGAGTCGCATAACTCCGATACTCGCCACTATCGCGACCCGGCCTTTAGCGGCATCACCACGATTACGAGTCCTGCCAACCGCAAACGTCTCGGGGGGAAAAGGAAAACTCTGGGTGGATTGACAAGGACATTGTTACCCGTAGCTAATCACGGCGGTCGTAGCGGAAAATGTACCAAGTTTTCTTGCCGTAATGGTGACGCCCTCCAAAGGGAAGGGAACTTTCGGGCCGCAACTTCCCCAGTAGCCTAGACACACCGCTAAGGTCTCTTGACGCAAACCATGATTTCACGAAGAGCGCTCGAGACCTAGGTGCACGCGTCCTATCGCGAGGGCGATCATAAAAAGCCAAAAAGAATGTGAGACCCACTGTATCGTTGTCACTCCCCATGAGCAACTGACGGACGACTCAACCGTATCGACACTTCAGGGTTGAAGTGGACATCCGAGTGGGATAGAGTCGGTGAGTCAGGGTTCCAGAACAGATTTTCAGATGGGTATGATGTGCAGAACTAACCTGTGATCACATCATCCAGGCCAGCAAAGTCAATAATGTGGGCCAAGATAGGGAGCTGGGCCCACTCTCAGATTTGGGGCTCGACTGTCAAAAATTCAAAGTACGGCGTCGAAGCCCGCCATTGCAGGTTGTGCTGGACTGTTCTAAACCCCTTCCCACCACCCAGCCTTCTGTAGGCAGCCTCCATGATGATCCCTACTGGCCGGATCCATCGAACAACTCTGGTGATGGCTAATCGCGCCAAAGCTCCTCCAACGGTGACGCAGCTCGATCACAGGCTCATCAGCGGGAGCACGCAGACCCCGAAAACAAGACCAATGATGTTTGATAACGACCTCTGAGTGATAGATTTCCAAGACTGATGCTGCAAGCGGCCGCCAACGTGCAGCCAGCCATGTTTCACCATCTCTAGGCTGATACGGAAGCTAAGATTAGGTACGGAATGCCGTGGTCCGTAGGTCTTGAAATTTCCCTTCGGCTTGCCGAAAGTACTTTGGTCTAAGGCGTTTAGCTCCGTCATACGAACCGCTGCCCCGTTATTTAGCACAACATTGGCGAATCACAGGTGACAAGACAATCAATGACTACTACCTTGGGGGCGTTGATTGTCGTGGCAAGTTAGTGAGACAGATTCGTAAACAGTATCAGGACACCCTGAAGAAACAATTGGTACAGCGTAGCGCGGAAATGCCTCAAATGAAAAGCCTTGTTCTTCCAGATCCTGAGGCCTTACGTGGTCATTGGCCGGTCGGATAACAGCCACAAGCCAGTCAAGGGCCCTGATTCCCGACCGTTGGTCTCGAGCGATGAACCAATGGATGACGTCCATGGGCTGAACCAGGGACGGGCACGGACTCACTGCGTTGTCAGTCCACGGCCAGTGGGAATCTATTTCCCGCTCCTTGTCCACGGTTTCTCAGGGCTGCTACGGAGTACGTCGGGTGTCCTTTTTAGCATCTGCAAACGCGGGCAGAAGATGGGTAATTGAAATGAGGATGAACGAGAAAATCAGGAGAGAATTGAGCGCAAAGCAGAAGTAAAGCAACTCATCGTGAATATCTCCGAGGCGGAAGTTGCCGCTGGTCCCACTGATGAATGCCTGGACGGACATGAGATCCCAATGCAGCAAAAGCTTGACGGTGCAGATGTTAGACGATGCAAAGTAGAGGCCCAAGGGGTTTAGAGCATCGGAGGTCGGTAAAAGACGAAGGAGTGTACACCGGATGCTGGATGAGGGATAATAGTTTTCGCGCCAATTCGCTGATGATCGTGCCTTCTGTTTCTGGTGGACGGCGAATTTTCCTCCAGTGTTGCGAGTTGCGACCCAACGGGCGGCGGTCCTGAGCGGCACGTGGCCCGAACCGAGTCCCATTCGTGTAGTAAATTTCCTTATTTACCCGAGTTATGCGATCGCAGGAATCGCAGGACCAGCAGGAACAGTAGCGCTACTGTCTTTGCCCACCCTCTCCCCCTCTCTCTCTTCCTACCTTATCCGATATGATTCGATACGAGCAATCATCATCTTATCTGCCACCACTGACTAGACTACTAGTCAGCTAGTTATTGCTGGCCCTACGGCAATTTCATCGGGTCATACCTGGCACTAAGGGACTTGCATTTCTCCCCTCTGGAAAATAGCTCGTCCCTCTCCGTGGCAGCCACCCATGCATCGGCAGATGCTTTTGCAATTGGCCGGCTGTCTGCCCGGAATCTACATTCTAAATACTTTGACATGATGATCTCGACCTTCACTGCCACTTAGATAATCTCTTTGCTACTTGACTAGTTATCTTTCGTACTTTGTCTGTCCAACCTAACAAATAATACCAACTCAGTGGTTACTGGTGCATTGAAATGGTGAACAAAGAAAAGAAGGATGGTTACACGGTATCAACCTTCTTTGAAAGCCGAGGTCAACAACATCCTAGCAAACACTTAACACTGTGCGACTATGCGTTGAGGTCTAATCGATCGACTCGGTCCGTGGCACTTTGTGTCCGTGACGTATCAGCATGATCGTCAGCACTGCCCCTTGCTGTCGCTATGGCCTGAGCTCGTTGCCACGTTACTTCGGCATCATTCTCAGGTCCTCTGCCGAACCCTTACCCGATATGCGCTCATCCATCGACACTAAACGATGGGATTCCCAATCTGAATCGCATTTCTCTTGATCAGGACAATGAAATTATGCAACTTCACCCAGCGACTTTCCTAACGAAGTTTTTGATCCGCCCAGTGCCTCATACTCGTAGCTGGCTCTTCGGAATTGACAGTATCTCTATCTAGCTCTCGGGTGAGCTAACCTTTATAGGGACGATAAGTTCATGTACTGTAGCATCTAGAGCACTGCTCTCACACGCTGAGTGTATGACGTGCTGCTACCGGAACACACACATGACAACATCGCTCACAGATAGACATTCGGGCGCTCTGCCAGCTGATATCCTATAGGCTCATTCTATCAAAGTTGATCGGCTGATTTAACGATCGGTATCAGACCGTTACCCTATCATGACGGGAGCCCTGTTATTGCGATCGAGAGGTAAACGAGAACGTAACCCGTTATCCGAATGTTGGAAGGGTCTCGTCCGTTCGATGGCTGAGACGTCTTACCGAGGGAAAATACAACCTTCTAGGCTCGAAAAGCAACATACCCCTGCAGGTACCACTGTCCAGCTGGTGAACAGACGCTGTTAATGGTCAGTATATAGCGCAGACCGAGATTTGACACTTGGATAGAATGGCAATCGATTATGTCGTCATGAAAGTTCGTGACCGAACAGCCCTGTAAGGGTCTAGAAGCAAGAGACCATGCTGTGGAACCGTTATCTATTCGTGAAACGAGGCTGTGGATGGGACGCGACATCGGTGGCGTTCATCCCTATCACGAAAGCTTAACCATGTCTCTCATTCATTACTGCCTAGGTCTATCTACTGTATTTCCGGCTTTTGCTTCAGACGAATCATATCCTACGGAGACAGGGAGCTTATCGTCGTGTGGTATCATTGAGAACCAGACGAGTAAGGTATACGTGCTGTATCCATCGGCCATCAACATCTTCAAAATATCAGGACTGTGCAAGAAACCCTGGCCATACCCAACGAGAACAATTACGAACCAGAAACCATACTATCCTAGAAGGTATCGACAATAGAGCTATTATCGGTATCTAAACCCTTAGTAATTCATAAATCGCTCAGCACATGCAAGTGTTCCATTTCCATTACATAGCGAACCACTAAACCGGACGCCACTTAAGATATCAACCCCATAGAGAACCATATAATATCGTTATATATATCATAACGCCCTACCATTCTTTTCGCCGTGCATACATAACATCTTATGGGGTGTGAGATTCCATCGCTCAAGACCTGCATTAATTGAATAGCCTGGCATGACCATATTCTCCATAGAATGCGTTTGATGCCCTTAATTCCCTTTTCCTGAAGAGATTGGTGATCTGCTCTAGATAACTCAGCCAAGTACGCCAATCTCGTAGATAACTAGAAACCAAGTGACATTTGGCTATGGGAATAGTTGACGAATTGAAGACGCAGTATATTCCTTGTCATACTGAATATATTGGGCGATAAATTATGCCATTGATTTTTTTTTTTTAACGTTGAAAAAACAAACGAAGATAAAAGAAGAAAGGCAAAGAAAAAGCCCTAGTCTTCAATCACCAACTTGTCACCTGCCTCTTCAGCTAAAGTTGAGGCCTCCAAGGCTGTGACTTTATCTTTCTTCCTCTGCAGCTCCTCCTCCTTCTTGATGTTGACATCCGGTTGGAGACAGTGTTCCTCAGTGTCCAGCTGATACTTTTTTTTTATGGAAGTGCGTATACAATTGATACGCCACAACATCCGCTGTTTTACCGGTGTATCAAGCAGAAGACGGTATTGGATGATATTGTGATGGTGGTTAGCTATGCTGCCATGAGTACGACGAGTAAGTTGTGCATTTGGGAGGCATTAAGGAGAGAAGATGCGTTTGTCGGAGAGAAGCAAAGTCAAATCACCTAAGAGCTCCAGCCTGCAGTCTAGAAGCTGCAAAATTATACCTTCACGTTTCTGATGAAGTGAGAATGTGGTTGAGCAGTACAGAATGAATTATCTTTGAGATCCCTGCATATTCGGAATGTGCAGGATCTGAAGGGGAATAATAGCTATAATGATCAGAAATGGGGCTTTCAGAATGAATGAATGATAACCCAGGCCATGTCATTCGGGTCCCGGGATCGCCATATACATTCGTCGACACCAGCAGCACCACTTAGCGATTGCAGTCTGACTAGATTTCATTGCATTGCTAGCATATCCATGGATGGTAGACGATGGGAGTAATGAGTTAGGGCCCAGAGATGCTTGTGCCTCTGCATCTTAGTCAGTGTCTGTCCCAAGACTGCCTCAACATCTTCATTAGTAGTAGTAGTTTCAGTTACAGCATAGCCTGGTTGTGGCTATCATTGCCCTGGTAGAAAACAAGCAATGGGCGTGGCTCCATCGCGAGCTTTGATTTCAATCCAGTCAACATCTCTCTGCATTTGTAAGCCACACCAATATATCAAACTAACGATTGCATAGTAGCCCTAACCACTGTCGATGATAGTATACATTCTGGCAAGAAAAGAGACTGGCCATCTTCCGAATCGAATCATTCTGTATCATGCACTATTTGTTCTGGATTGACGGCTGTCCATTCGGTCAACACCAGGCTTAGCATCCGATCATCTACATCCTAGCAACAAAGAGCGGCATATTGTGAGTCTGAGACATGGAGTATAGACCTGTAGAGACACCCTATACCCCAAAATTCCTTGTGGATGGTATTTGTCAGCTATTTTCTGCTAGAATATCGTCACCATTTTGATCGTCTCAATAATATTGAAGCTGTATCTGTAGTAGTATTGTTTATGTATTTCATGTAACACCCTTATCTGTGATCTTGAGGACAGCCCGAGTGATAATTTGATAGTATCTTTATGATATCCCCTGGTTTGATACACTGGTTCTTTGTACCCAGCATAGACTATCATAGAGTATATAAAGTACTATAGTATGGATCTTATCTTCAGAGCTTCTTTTTCTGAATCTTAAGTAATGGAAGAGATTAAGAAAGAGAAAGAAAGAAGAAGCCAGGAACCAGTCTTTCTATATCCAACTAATAATCAGTGAAGCCAGAAAGGGACTACAACAGATAGTAAATTATCTTAGTAAATTTCTAGATTCACCGAAATATTCAAGCTCTAACCGATGTGAATAGAGCTAAAGACTATTCTCTCCAGAAAAATCATGTGAAAGCTACCCAAATCTATACGAATTCGTTCTATTCATCTGCCCACCCTATTCAAACACAAGAAACAAAACACAAGCTATGCACATCACAACGCAAACCACCCACCTCCCATTCCCATATAATAACATATAATAATATGACCTATAAGTAATTAAGAAAATAAAATAAGTATGCAGGTAAGTGAGCAGACAGGTAGTAGATAAGAGTATCAACTCGCCCGCGAGTCAATACCCCCAGATAACAACTCCTACCCAACCACTTACCCCCCAGCCAGCCAGTAGACAATACAAAAGTATCATGCTCACCACCGACCCACCACTCCAGTATCAAATCGAATCGAATCAGAAAATCCACCCCAGGATAATCCAAATCGCCACCACAACCGTCACCACAATACCAGCGACCTTCAACACCGCAACGGTATCACCCTGCCGCGCCATACGAGTTAAGCGACTCGCGCTACCTTTCAGATTCGTGGAGAGGGAGGAAAAGACTTGGTTCTAATCATATGATAAAAAACATATTGTTAGCTTTTCATGCTCATCTATACATATGCAGACGTATTTTCTCCCAAAGACGATATCCACATAAAAGCAAAACACAAATATAGTGAAAAAGGATTCAACGAACCGAATGATCCAACGTATCCTGATCCCTCGCATTATCATAGATATCAATGGTAACGGACTTCAGCGCGGAGACCTTCGACGAGAGAGAGTTTAGGAGCGCATTGTTTTGTCTACCCTCATTCATTAGTATTTCCATGCCCAAAAAAATCCTTCCGTCCTTTTTGCGTAGGAATAGTCAAGGTAATGTGGGTGGGCTCTCGTACTGTTCACGTTCGAAGGCGTCGGCCATTTTGCTTCAGGTGTCGCTTCTCGTATAACTCGATACTATGCTGAGTCGTTTCTCGTTGATTATTATGTGGAATATCTCGTTATATCGATGGCAAGGTTCGCTTCTTCGATACGGGCTGTGTTGTGTTCGTTCTCCTTTTGATGTTGGCAAGGAAGGTGATGGTCCCGTCCAGCCAGGTCGGGATGACGCTGTGGAGGCTGTGGGGAGATATATGCATGTCACGTGATTGAATCGATGGCTGGCCGCGGGTCGAGTGGATCCTAGGCTATTTTAGTATAGCTAGTTGGGACGGCTAGAATAGATACGGCGTGGATTAGGGGCTTGACTGTGTCTAGTTGAGGGGGAGGTTTGATTATCTTTCTCTACAGTACAGTTGACCATCATGAAGGTATTAAATTACACATTGGTTACGAGGATTGACTGAAATACTGGTGTCACAGAAACATGTGACCCATTTGGAGTGTTCAGACTTCTATAACAAGGCATCGTTGACGCCGGACAGAAAAACAATCGACAAACCCCACACGCTATGCGAACAAAGAAACCCAAGACGAGAAGCTATGTCAGGCCCTACCCTACCATCGTGGAATATTCAAAGGACCACTATATAAGTTGACACAACAAGTGTTCAAACGAGAATAGAGGAGCTTCAATGGCTTCCTCTGTATACCCTTATATGCCCTGTGCATAGAAAAAAATGAAGAGTCCACCACCAGGGAGCGAAAAGAATGCGAGGATGACACAAGAAGTAAAGGCTAATATCAGTGTACAGAGTGTGAGAACCGACCAGACTTGGCACAAGGGGTATTTAGTGCGCTGCAATAGAATCAACAGCAATAGAGGGAATCAATTGTCTGTTCCCTATTACCACATATCATCGTCATCATCGTCAAGCTGGACGTCGTCGCCAAATGTCGAGTGACCATACTGGTAATGTCCCGGGCCATATGCATTTCCATTCTCGTAGCCACCCTTGCTACTTTGCGAATGGGTGCCATAATGATCCTGTGCATCGTCCGTATATTCGTACATTTGAGGATCATCGTAGGAACTATCCGTATATTGTTGCACCTGAGACTGCAGTTTCGACGAACAGTTAGAATCTTCAATGACAATAGAGCATCATCGCGGAATACTCACCTCTTGATATCTTTGGTATTGTTGATACTCTTCTTGTTGCTTCTGCTGCTGCCTTTGCGCAGCGGAAGTAGCCAACATCATGTGCGGGTGCATCTGCTGGACCTTCGCCAAGTAAGAGTACATGAAGTTGCTGAGCAAGACCTGAGAGTACAGCGCGCGTCGAGGATTCGCAAGCTTGATGTGAGCCATCCGGTAAATCGCTCTTTCTTCTAGAATCGAGAAGCGGGTCCAAGCGTAATCAACATCCGGCCGCAGCTCACGCACAGGCGGATCAGGTGATAGGTTTCGAGAAGCGCTTTTCTTGTGATGATGGCTGTGATGGCTACTGTCACCACTGCTCTTCTTCCTACTTCCGCCGAATATGGAGGAGAACAACCCAGACTCCTTCTCTTTCTTCGACTCCCCAGAAGTCCGTCGCGCATTGTCCTTGCGACGCTCCTCTTCCAGTTTGGGATCCAGTCGATCCACTGCAACGCTTTCGCGGCCTCGCTGACTAGAATCACTTGAGGATGGCAGGGCGTGCGCTGTCTCATGCACTTTGTCCACTATCTTGGCCTTGAGTTTCTTCGAGTCACTGTCCTTGTCCTTTTTCTTCTCTTTATCTTTATCCTCGGAACCCAGCAGCCAGTGCCAGCTGGATTTGCGGCCACCCTCCGAATCTTTCTTGTCTTTTGACTTTTTCGACTCTTTTGTTTCCTTCTCCTTCTCTTTCGAATCAGCCTTGCGATCCTCGAAAGTTGGGATGTACGACAGGCTGTCCGTTCGGGTGGTGTTTCCAGGAAGAGGCTGTGGGGTATTGGCGAAGTCATTGAAGGTGGGTGTGGTCTCCTTCTGAGTGCGACTATGTGCCGACCGCTTACTTGAGCTTCGTTCCTGCATTCTATCTTGGCCTGCAGGTGCTTTCGGGGACGCATGTGACTGTGAGGTCGGTGTTGAAGGCGTGGTGGGAGTCCCGGGAGGAGGCGTTTCAATGATTTCAGGTATCTTTTGTTCTGACGGTGGAACGTCCGCCGTTGACCGTCCATTGGAGCTGATCCGTGAGTGCCATTGTCGCGAATGTGCTGGCGCGCTTGCCCTGTTCGACGGATCTGACGAAGCTGCATCATGAGAGCGGTCGTTGGCTGGTTGTGAGTGTTCCACCGCTGAGTCTACACTGGAGCTTGCTGTTGTTGTACTAGTTGTCGCAACAGGGGCCTGGGGTGCGCCTTGCGTCGATTTGGCCGCAGCTTGAGCTCGCGTTGAACTGGGTGTTGGGTCGGTAGACATTCGCGTCAGCCCCAAGACTGCTTGACCTCCAGATGAACCAGTTGGTGAAGTAACCCTCTCATCTGCGTCCGAAGTTCTAGCCACGCGCTTCGAATACGGTGCCTTCTCGCCTTTCTTCAGACTTCCGGCCTTCCTATATTGTGTCCTTGTCGAGCGTCTGAGGCTGTGGCTTGGAGGTGCAGGGGGAAGGATAGGTTTATCCTCATCGGTGGAAATGCCAAGTTTCTGGATTCCATCGAGGATATTCGTTGCGTTGGGAACTCGCGGCTTCGAATCGTTCACTATTGTTTCTAGTTCATGCAGATTGGGCCCCAACGAATCGCGTTTCGATTGTGAGCGTTTTCGTTCGAGTCGTTCGGCGCCATCTGTATATCCCTGAGAGGTGTCAATCTGCCTGGATAGCATAGACCGCTTCCGCCTCAAGCCCCTTATTGATCCCTCACGCTCCGGGCCCAAGGTAGAAAAGTCGCCTGATTTCCGCTTGATCTGTTCTGTTTTACTTTCAAGGAAAGACTTGAACTCCTTCGGGGCAAGTTCCGGGTGTAAACGGGCTGGAACCCAAAACAGTCGCGATGCATCGTTTTCGTCGTCGGAGGGAGAGGGCGCTATGGATGGAACGGAGAAGCTCGGGAGATCGGGGTCATCCGTAGCAGCAACATCCATAGACATCCGCCGGATCGCGGCGAGATTGTTCAGCTCTTGTGCTACGGCGGCCGGGTCGGATTCATAGTCGACATCGTTCAGAGGGAAGGAGGTTGTGGCTGTGTCGGTCGATACGGGGGACGTGGTGGACGCGGGAGACGTCGGGCTACTTTCGGCGGACTTGGCCCCATGCGGCCATGGTTGCCCGTTCGCTTGCCGATTATTATGATCATTGATGTGGTTTTGAACCTGGAGAGACTGTGGGGAGGTAGGAGATTCGCAGCCGGCGAGCTTTGTGGGAATTATAGTAATGGATTCGCTCAACGGGGAGGATATGAAACTGAGGCGTCGAGAATCTCGCTTGTCGTAATCGTCATCGTACATATGGCCAATGGCTTCGGTGACATGGTGACTGGGGTCACTGATCGACAGTTGAGGTACATGGCCTCTTTTCGTTGCATATCCTCCGCTTGGCTCAGAGGGGCTCGGTGAAGCCTGAAACTCACGACGGCATGTTTAGAGACAGTCCTTGAATAATACAATTGAAACAGGGGTTGGAGGGTCCACAACGCATCGCACAAGAGATGCTTTCTTGCCAGGTAAACCTTTCGGTAAGGATAGACCAAAGGCCGAGAGAATCCTTAAGCTTTCCCCAGAGTGTTGTTGTAGGCGAGGGGTACAACGGGGGGGGGGGGAATTTTTTTGGGTAGAACGCGGACATAAAGAAAGCGACGCACCTGCATGAGAGCAAATTAACCGGGGGACCGGACAGGAAGAAAACGCCCCGGGGTTGGCTATGGATTAGGAAAGTCGCTTGGTGGTGAGGAGGTCAATGTACCACCAGGGCCGTAAGACAACGCAGAGAAAAGGTAGTCATGGAATCATGGGAGCGGGGAAGAAGCGTCGACGGAGAGGAGCAACCACCAGGGTGACGAGAGGAAAGAGAGGCGGGCGATGACGGCTAGGCATCCGGCGGCCGATGATATGATTTTGGCGACGATACAAACGAGAGAAGAGGTAGAAAAGGGTTTTGAATAGGAAGAGCGAGTGACGAGAGGCTGAGGTGGGCGGTAGTTGTTCTTCGTAAGAAAGAGGATGGGGATGGGAGAGTTGGGAGTGAGTAGTTCGGTGCTGGGAAAGAGTAAGGACCTGGAGAAGGTGGACGAGACGAGGGAAGGCCGCCGTGCTTTGGTTGGCTGGTTCTGGCTGGGCTGGGCTGGCCGCGCTTCAGTTTGGAAGTGGTGGTCGGCCTTGAACAACACCGCAAGAACAAGAACAGGGAAAATAAAATAAAATAGAAAATAGGTTTCTGACAAGTAATTCAAGAAAGAATAACACTTTAGGCGAAAGAGTATTCTATCAGAAGACCCATCGACGGCTAAATCGGGGAATCCGAGGCCAGTGAACAGGAGGAGAAACAATAGTGTATAGGCTCACACTCTCTCTCACTCTCTCCACGGATGGATCGATCTTGGGCAGGATATGCCCTCTTAGTCAGCGCGATGCTCCACTGCTGATCAATCTCGATGGCAGGCCACCGTCCGTTCACTTCGAGAAATGTGACTCGATGGTTCTAGTAAAATACCTTGTTCAGTTCGTTTGATTCTTCGTTCGGGCGATCGCTGATCAGCAGTACCCCGTGCTTCTTTTCGGTGGACTCCAATGCTCGGTAGCACGGTCTTTGGAGCAAATCTTATTCAGTTCGCTAGGGCTCGGAGAACATGAGTCGAGGAACTACCTGGTAGTGTGGACTGGCTATCCGAGAGCTGAGTTTTATTTATTTATTTTTATTTTTATTTTTATTTTTATTTTTTTTAGTTTTAGATTGCACAAGGAGGGATTGCAACTCCACTGTTGGTTAGACTACCCTCACCCTGTTCTTATAGACTACTTTTAGGGTGAACTCCCGCCCCTAAATGCAGGCACTGGCAGTGAGATACCACGGAACGCTTAGAGTAGTACTACAATGGAAGGACAAAGGAAAGGTTGAAAGAGGAGAAGCTGAAAATCAACTGAATAATGACGACAACAAATCACGAGATGAGAAGAGGGGGAGGGAATAGAACGGGCACAATGAAACACAATGAGCTTATCATTTGACGGCAGAATCCACGCACTGGACTCGGAGCACCATTCATCATTCAGAAGGCTGAGCAATGTCGGGAAAGTCTAATGCATAAATTGTCTTGCTCATCTTGTTGTGAACCCGCCATGGCGGTGATGCGTCTGTTCCGGCATCCCATACATAGATCGACAGGGAAAACCGTCATTCACCAGCTGCAAAACCTTGTGCGGTTCCCCATATGCCTGCTGTCTAACTTACCTACAGATGATCGCCTGAGTCATTTCGTAATCTTCAATTCAGAATCTCAGCTGACGTATCCGTCTTCCTTCCATAGCCTCGTCCTCGTATTAGGAAATGAGGGAGATTATCTGGCATGAGAGCGGCATGCTGCTGTTCTTCCAGAAGACTGTAGAGAAAGAACAAGTCTGTCGCACGATGGACTCAATTTGCAATCGCACTGCTTCTCTGCCTTCTCGCGTGAGACCCGGCGCGAGTCTCGTGCCTTGTGTTCCTGACCTCTATTGGCCGAGCGGGCCTCATCCGATGACTTCGAGGATGTTGCGGAGGGGCTGGCTCCACGAGGTCCAATGGCCCAGAAGGATGGGTCCCGGTTGAGTTCAACTTGGTGCAGGAGAGTCTCCCGAGGAATGTACCGACCGCTTCTACTGCAATGCGATGAGCAAGGAACTTGAACGTCGCTGGGAGCTTGACTGCTGACGACTCCTTGACGCTCCTCGGACCTTTCTGACGGCAGCCACCCGTTTCTTTATTCTCACTAATCCTCCCTTCCTCGCAAGGGAGAGGCATATCAGCCAAGAAGCAGCTGCAATCATCTAAAACATGTCCAACCAATCCATCCTTGGCGCAGCAACACAGAGGGAATATTCCATTTTTGACAGTTATAAACCTGCAGTCCCAAAAAAAGAACAAAATAGCATGGGGGAAGTCTTATGTATAACCCAAAGGTGGTCCAACACTATCACACAAGCCATATACTAAAGCTAGAACCATCGCCAAAGCGAACACATACACAGGTGCAACTGTCCCGATTTGTCACTTATCCGTTCAAAAGCCACCCCGAATCCGCTGGTCGGCCCAACAGGCAACTCCGGCGCTTATACTCAAAAAGCCGTAAGAAAAAAGCAAAGAGAATCTTGGGGAACAAAAACTAAAGGGGGTGAGTCTTAAACGATGACATGGAAGCTGAATATCAAACGGAAGAGGAACATAAAAAGCATTCGTGAAGGAGGAACATGGCGTTAAGGGTGCTCGCGTCGTCAAATATCATTCCGCGTGAGTCCAACTAGGACACGCCGACTCCTAAGCAGTTTCGACATAGTTACTGAATAGTAATGGTTAGTTCCCATGGCCGAGGAAAACACGGATTCTGCGAATTCCAGGTCTGCTTACCTTGGGAAAATGCCAACTCGGCCCCCGATCCGCCCGGTCCACCAGTCCTCTTTCTTGTCAGTTCTCTTGAGGATGGTGATAATGTCTCCTTTCTTAAAACCCAAGTCACCTTCCTGGTCCGCATCGAAAGTATAAAGTGCTACGGCCTGGTCCTGGCGTAGAGTAGGAGCTGCCCCAGTCCGCTGTCCAAACACGGGTTTCGGAGCTGTGGGTCGGCTAGGCTTCCGGTCAGAATATACATAGTCCTCATCGATTGGGGTAGTATTGCTCCGGCTGCGGTTGAATGAGTCGTAAGTGTCGTTGCGACCGCTGTACCGAGTAGTCGACGAACGGCTCAGCCCTCCAGCAGGTCGATCGTATATATCGTCCGCCCACGTATTCGCACGGCGGGGTCGGTCGCGGAAGTCATCTGAACCTGAGCCACTGAACCCAGTGCGATCGCGCCGCGTTCCTTCGCCATACGCCTCGCCCCTGCGGCCCTCCCAAACCACATCGTCATGGCTGTCATCATAAACGGGGATGTCGTTGTACATGTCACTACCATTCCGGGTATTGCCATAGAACGCACGCGAGTTCAACACCGTCAGGAGAGGGTCCGCGCCCGGGGGAGGTCGAATGGTTCCGCTGAGGAGCTGGCGTGCCGAGACCCGGCTGTTGTACATCTTCTCGTTCGCATCCTTACGTTCCACCAGCATGCTTCCCTCCAAACTGACACCGGCAAAGAGACCCTTGGTCTTGGAGTATGAGAACACTGCCGCCACACCCTTTGTGCTAGCCGCGCCAGCAGCTTCCGCGTTTCGTCCGACCGGTCCAGCAGCGATCGAAACGTTTCCACCTAGCGTCAGGGTTCCGACCTGCGAGAACGTCCGAACGGCAGCGGCATCATTCAAAATGAACACGAAGTCGGTTAACTCAAACCCGATCTGGCCTCCAAATCCAGCTCCAGCAGTGGCAATGGCCGACGGAGCAGACCAGGTTCCGTCAGCTAGTCGAGCGACAACGACACCAGAGCCGAATCGAGCTGAGCCCAAAAATCCAGCTTTCAGGACAGTAAGAACGGCGAGACCCTAGGAAAGAAACCGTGAGTGACGGTGCGACTTTTGAGCAACAAGCTGGGTATGGATTCTGCTAATTACCTTGGCTCCTGCCAGAATCTCCGGAGGAATCACTTTATCGGGTCCAAAGGCTTGTCGTGGATCGACAAACGAGGCGAGGATTTTGCCCGCCTTTCTACATTCGCCTGTCTGGTTGTTAGTCGCAGGCCGAACCACCTGTTCAAGAGAATTGCGGGGAAATTGGAACGAAAGCGGCGCGGAACATACTTCCTAACGATGAAGGTAACGGATTGTGAATTCCGAGAGGCATTCTGGCTATGCTTGACGGAAACTGAGGGTGAAGGGAGGGTTAGGGAAGAAGAGGGGGTAGGGAAGAAGGAGTGGAAGGAGAGAGAAGGATGTTGATAGTAGGATGTTCTGCGAAGGCTGTTCGTCTCTATGGGAGCGACCGGAAGTGGAACCAGATGACGGCTGACACCAACTGCGATTCGCAAACGATAAGGCTCAATTATCCAAATTCTGCACCATCCACAACGACCCTGTACTGTTCGGTGACTGTGCAAATCGCTCTCTCAAAATGTTCCTGTGCGATGAATAATATACTCATCTGATTCATGGGGAAGGTCAGCAACCGTGGGAATCGAGGGGGCTGTACTCACTCGGAGAGGGGACTTTCCGCAGGCGGCATCAATGAATACGGGGGAGTGTGGCTGGGGCCGCTTCTACCAGCTTCTTCCCTCGGTCTTGTCTTGGTAACTCTCCAGGTCAATCAGCTTGAAGTAGTACACACGAAGCCATTTCAGAAGCACTCCCCTATCTCACCCGCTATTACTAGGTACCTGCTTTGTTTCATCCCCAGTATCTACTAGTCCAGCCACACCAATAGTAAGAAACCCGACCGGCTGGAACCTGAGGCCGCAAGAACGGCACAGCCACCGCCGAGGCTCCGACGATCATCGTAGTTCCCAGCCGACCGAGTCCTTAGTGACATCGCGTTTCGATTGGCCTGGACTTTCAAATCGGGTTGACCTTGTTATTAACAAAAGCTTTCTGAAGCATGCCCCAATAATTTGATTAAGGCGTCCCCAGTCGCCTTGAAAGTTTCCAGATCCGCAATGGCTACAGGTTCGATATGTTTACGTTGAGCTGCTCACTCATCTACTTACTAACAGCACCTCAGTGCGAATCTGTGTCTGTGGTGATGAGGGCACTGGCAAGTCCAGTCTCATCACCTCCCTTGTGAAGGGGGTATTCGTTACAAACAAGATCCAGCCTATCCTACCTCAAATCACCATCCCTCCTACGATCGGTACCCCCGAGAATGTCACGACAACGACGGTGGTGGACACCTCCGCTCTTCCGCAGGAGCGCAATAATCTGGCCAGGGAG